TATTTTTTTACGTAAAAAATGTTTCTTGGTAAAAATCGTTAGGAGCAACCCTTCTCGAGATATTTAGAATGGGAATAGTCAATACATGTCATTATTGACAAAAAATGAACATGTCGAGTAGATAATTATTTGACTAAAAAGATAAATTTGGACAATTTTTATTTTTTTTTTTAATTAATCATAAAATTTTCTTCGAAAAAATTATGATTGATGATGGTTTGGCACAAAAACATTTCAAATTTATGATTTCCGTCTATTAACTATTTAGTCAACATGTTTAATTCATGTCAATGATGACAGGTATTGATAATTTCGATTTCAAATATCTCGAGAACTATTACTCGTAGCGATTTTTGCCAAGAGATCATTTTTACGTTAAAAACGTCGTTAATATATATTTGTTTACTTGGTAGTTTTATACAGGTACGGACGAAAAGTTATTACTCTTCAAACCAGTTAAAAATATGTAGGTGGCGCCCTCTACCAGTAGGAGTCATATTGACATCAAAATCGAATTTCTTATATCAAAAAACTCCCAGACACCAAATTTCAACCAAATATTGATGTTTCTTCAGAAATTATTTGGAAAAAATCGAAATAAAAATGAAACTTCTCTAATATTATCAGACACTTTTTTCTCTTTTCGCTTTTTTTTGAAAATTTAAAAAAAATACTTTCTCATTTAGATGTAGATTTTTTTTAATAATCAAGTGTTTCTTCTCCGAATAGACATAATTTTAGTGTCTGTTTTTCCATCTTCAAATATTTTGTCTACTCATCTTTAGACAAATTACGCAAATGCATTGAATAAAACTAATTCATAATATTATCAATCAAGTGTACTCTATTGTTGTATAACAATTCTAAAAACATATTGAAATATTTGTAACTTATATTTAGAAGTTATTTTTATTTAATTATAGATTATAATAATTTTTAGCAAGCGACTCCTCATCAAATTTTATTATTATTTATGGTTTGTTAAAACAAAATTATTTTTGATTACAGTATTTATATAGTAATAATTGAATAGTTTAATATAATGTAATGAGTTTTGTAAAAAGCATATCACCCTTATATCACGCAATGGAAATTTTATTAGGTCATATAAAGATATTATAATGTCAAAGTATTTCTGAATTTGACTATTGCTGTGATATCATTTATTGTTGTATGATTAACATATTTTCCGTATGACTTCCTTACCATGTGTTATAAGCTATATAAAAAGATATTTGATGAAAAATTTGTTAGTGTTAATATACAATCTATATCTAAACTAATATACATATAAAATCCTTAAGTGACTGACTCACTGATTAATCACGATCCTGCTCAAACCACTCAACGTAAGAAGCTCAATTTTGGCATACAGGTTGATTCTAGGGTGTAGGGGTTCGATAAGAAGGGATTTTTCGAAATTCCAGTTTCAAGGGTGTGAAACCACCTCTTAAATATTACAATATTTTTTATTTAAAAAGCGGTCAAGTTTCCGAAAAACGCTTAAACACGTATATTTTATTTTGTTTTTTTTACATATTTTGAGATTGTTTAAAAATGTATAGAGGATGTTTCGAAAAATCTGGTCATTGATTAATCACGATCCTGCTTAAAGCACTTGACGTAAAAAGCTGATTTTTGGAAAACGGATTGACTTTAGAGTGTAGAGGTTCGATAAGAAGGGATTTTTCGAAACTCGAATTCTAAGGGGGTGAAACCACCCCTGAAATATTAGAATATTTTATATTTAAAAACCGGTGAGTTTTTCGGAAAAACTCTTAAACACGTATATTTTATTTTGTTGTTTTACATATTTTAAGATTTTTTAAAAATTTATACAGGGTGTTTCATAAAATATGACCATTGAGTAATCACGATTCTGCTTAAACTGCTTGACGTTTAAAGCTGATTTTTGGCAAACGGATTGACTGTGGGGTGTAGAGGTTTGATAAGGAGGGGTTTCTCGAATCTCAAATTGCAAGAAACGCCCCTCAAATATTACAATATTTGTTATATAAAAAACGGTTAGTCTTTCCGGAAAACGCTTGAACACGCATAATTTATTTTGTTTTTTACATATTTTGAAATTTTTTAAAAAATCATACAGGGTGTTCCAAAAAGCTGGGTAACTGATTAACCACGATTCTCCTTAAACTGCTTGACGTAAAAAGCTTATTTTTGGAACACGGCTTTTTCGAAAGTCAAATTCCAACGAGATGAAACTACCCCTCAAATATTACCAAGTTATATAATAATATCGCCATATTGTTTTTTCTCATGCTGACATAAATTTGAGAACATTTTATCCAGTTTGTACGTTAATGGAAATTCTTGGCTTGCTTTATCATCATCATTACAAATGATTAATTTGACGCAAACGAAGTCGCGGGTACCAAGCTAGTATTTTATAAAATCACACATATTACACTATAAAATTCTTCATAAAATATCTTTTAACTTAAATCCTTAACAAAGAAATTTTACAGTGTAATACCCGGTGTTAAGACTATGAAATTTATTTGTCAAATATCATTTATAAAAGATATTTGGAAAATTTGACAGTGATATATGCATATATATTTGATGAAAAAATTCACAATCAAAATAATATTTTATAAAATATTATATATTACACTGTAAACGATCTTTGACAAAGAAATTATATACTGTAATAGCGTTCTAAAACAATCTATGTATCACGTTCAGGCAAATTCCGCCAATATTGTCACGTTCAACATTTCTAGCACACCTACATTCTGCCTATCCATATTTATTAGTTCAAGGATGAAGGGCAAAGGGCTCGATGGACCCAATTTCTGCGGTCTTCAGGCCAGGACTGCCCTTTAGCCATCCATTAATGAGATTAAACCTGTAACTTGAATTGCTCTTGCATTAATTACTGACTTCAAGTATATTTTGTCGAAAGACCAATTTAGGGTTTGTATTTGAAGAATTAAAATATTGTATTAAAGGCAATCATGAAATAACTTAAAAAATATATTTAGGGGTATAATACACTCAGATGCAAAAAAAACGCAACGGAGAAATTTTTGGTCAAATTTAAAGTGTTATATTTTTGTTATTTTTAGCCCTATTTTCATGAATATTTTAGCAAGGTGTATATAATTATATTTGTAGCAAGGTGTATATAATTACACCTTTTATTCGTAAACTCAGTTTTTTATAAACATAGGGTTGTTTTTTTACCCTAACTTTAAAACACCCTGTGCAATAATTTCATGTGTAAATTTTACTAAAATATAATTTTACGGTCAGAACCATGTCTTCTGAGCAATTTATTATTTGGATCATGTCAATGTATGCCTTGGTTAATTTTTAAGAGTGAAATGAGCATGCCACCAACAATTTGCAGTTTTTTCAGTTATCATTTCTTATTGGAAGTTATTGTTCAATTTAACAAGGCAGCTTTGGTGATACTTTGATACTATAAACTGCCCATCATGTTCGACGTTTGGCAAATGCTTGGCAGGAGGGTTAGAGGTCGCGAAGCAGTACCAGATTGATTAAATCTATGGATTAAATTAACTTCGCTTGGTCCTTAAAGAAGAATGGGAGAACATAACGCAATATGATATATGCGGCCTCAATGACAGTATAAACGGGCGTATACAGGCAGTTATAGCAGCCAAGGGCGGCAATACAAAGTATTAGGATATTTTTTTAAGTTTTTTTTGTATACTTAAATGTTACAGAGATGTTTTCTTTAATATCGTTAGTTTTGTTATCGTTATTAGTGTTTATTGGACTGTATCGTGAATTTTTAACGTTTTTTTTTAATTTAGTATATAATAGTCAATGCAGTGTAATATGACGTTACGACAGTAGTTACCAAAACCATCTCGCCATATTAAAAAAGTACATCAAAAAGTAATGATAATTAAAAAAATTGCAAATTTATCGTTATCAGTTCATTTCGCTCTTAAAAATTAACCAAAGCATGTATTAACATGAATCCAAACCAAACCAAACCAAACAAAATGCTCAGGAGTCATGGTTCTGACCGGAAAATCTTATTTTAGGAAAATTTACAGACGAAATTATTGCACAGGGTGTTTTAAAATTAAGGTAAAAAACAACCCCTCGATTAACCCTGTATAATATGCCAAATACTAAAGTTTATAAAAAGCTGAGTTTACGAATGAAAGTTGATATAATTATACACAGCTCGCTAAAAAATTCATGAAAATAGGGCTAAAAATAACAAAAATATAACACTTTAAATTTGACCAAAAATTTCTCCGTTGCGTTTTTTTTTGCACCTGAGTGTATATTTATTAAGCCTTGATTCCCCTGAGTATTTTATAATTACACTGTGTGGTCTACAAAAAGAAATTATTTCTCGATCCTTTGTCCCTTATTCTTATGTAAAATCACGTCCTGAGTAAACATATATTTTGTTCTACCATCCACCATTTTCTGGGAGCCCCCGTTCTTTGTATCATATTTATCACTTTTCGATAACAGTAATAATAATTTTATGGATATGAATTTAATTTAGAGAAAAGGTGAAAAGAAGGTATTATTTTACCTCTAAACAATAATAAATAAAACGATATCAACCTTTTTTTGGTGTTTCTTGATATTTATATACAGGGTGGTCCGAACTGTATTCCGGAAACTTCGGCAGCATATTCTGCAGTTAAAAATAAGTAAAAAAGTTCGTATAAATCTATGTCCTTAAATGCTTAGTTTCGGAGATACAGGGTGTAGAAGTTTCATTTTTATTTCGATTTTTTCCAAATAATTTCTGAAGTAACGTCAATATTTGGATGAAAATTGGTGTCTGGGAGTTTTGCTTGTAGAGGGCGCCACCTGTAGTACAGGGCAATAGTTTCCATGCCAGACTATTTCTAGTGATTATTATTATTACTATATTTTAATGTCCAAACTTTTCAAAACGTAACTTTCAACCCTCAACTGTAAAGTAACTTATTCTAATTCTTAAATTTTAGCTGACGGATTATTTTTTATTATTTCAGGTCATGAGAAGTGCACTTTCCACCACGACCTCGAACTGGACCACAAACCACCTACCAGAGAAGCACTGATTCCAGAAATGTCCAGGTCGTACCGACTGCTTTTAGGTTCCTTAGGAGAAAATCCCGATAGACAAGGCCTTTTGAAAACGCCAGAACGGGCGGCCAAAGCCATGTTATTTTTTACGAAAGGCTATGACCAAAATTTAGAAGGTAAGTTTAGATTTATTACTAGCTTATCCTATAGACGGTGCCAAATTTTCATATACCGACAAGAAACCGTCTTGGGTCGGTATTTACATGTCTAGGAGTGGATCGTTATGGCAATCTAGTAAGGCGAAGAGAGAAAAACGCGTAGTATTTATTACATAACAACATAACCACTTAATCTGACGCTAGATTTTATGCGCTTGGGAAAATACTTGCTCTTCTTTCTTTATTCAGTACATTGTACTCATTGTATTGACTGTACTTTTTACACATGCGTAAATCAGCACCCAAGGCCAGAAATGCCAATCCGGTATATACTGTGTCCAAGAATTTGGACTATATATGGATTTTTATTTTATTTTAGATATCTCAGAAATGGTTTATTCTATTATCCCTGCCAAACTTTACCCAAACTAGACAGTATTGAAGTATTTCAGTTTGTCTATTGTTAGTAAAGCGATTTAATTTTTAAAAATACGTAAAAGTTTAAATTAAACAAGTTTACCGACTCATCATTGGAAGGTATCCATAAGGGCAATGTAAATACTATTTGGCGCTGTTCTTGCAACAGACGCGTTCCAAAACTTTTTATAATTTCGGAGCGGTTCGGCTTTTTCCGGAATTGTATCGCCAAACATTATTTATTCAAATTACTATTACTTTCTTTTAATTTCATAAATAAAAAACAGTGTGTTACGTATAAAAATCTTTATTTTATATAAGAACATGTATAAAATCCCTAAAATTAGTGTGCAATTGCAAAAATAGCAGTGCGAGGCAAAAAAATATACAATTACCATATAAAACCAAATACCCATAATATTTAGGGGGTAAGTTTAGTAATTCCTTTAGATATATGTAGGAATTTTTTACTTTCAATATTAAATTTTTCTTCTGGAATTTTTCCGTCTGATTTGAAAGCAGGGCTAATTAAATTCCATGCGCCCACTTATATCTGGAAATATACGGGAAATCAAAAGATCTAGTGATTTCCCCAGAGAATTCCATCGCAGTTAATTACCCTTGTCGGCGACAAATAATACCGTGATTCATGAGTTATTATGCAGGCAGATTCGAGATGATGCTGCTGATTAATAATCTTTTTAAGGTCGAGCGGTATTTAGTCTTAGAACTTGTCATCGATTTTTATAAAAAAAGCAATTTTGTAGAAATGCATGACAGTTTAAGAATTTACGGAACAAAAATTCATAATAAAATTCGAGGAAGCACCAGAGATGCAACAAGTCAGTTTGAAAAACTCTTACTTAAATCTTATGGAACTAAGTCTCAAGGAATTTCTAAAATCAAAATTATTTAAATCTTAAGTCAATTTCAATATAAAGTTCAAACGACTTAAGTCTTTCACTTAAATCATTTTCTTTCAAGTCAAGTCATTTTTGTAAAGACATAAATCAACATAACGTTATATACCTAAGTCGTTTTATTACTTAAAGGCGCGTTCTCACGAGTCGATTTTAGTTGATCAACTTAAGTTGACCAATAAAAAACGAAACCAAATTTTTGTTCACACACGTCAATAGAAATTGATTCGATTGTAGTTTTTTAAATGGCCGCGAACGAGGTTGTTCAAGCAGGTATAGCAGTCATTTGTGAGTTATTAAGTGCAGAAATCAGAGGCATTTTATTAAAATTTGGCAAAAAAAAACAGAAAACGTCGGTTTTGGGTCCGGAACTGGATACTGAGGAGAAATAAACTGGATGTTTCAGGAGCCCTGCTCAAAGAGCTTGCATTAGAGAATCGTCTTTTTTACCGCACATCCAAAGTCGCAAAATAAACTTGAACACAAAACTCGATCGCTTTACTGTTCACACGATTCAATCGCGTTTCAACTTGTCTTTAAATTCGCCTGTGACTCATTAGTTGATCGATACGTTTAGAATGGGTCAAACTTTATTGGTTCAACTGAAATTGATCAACTTAAATTGAAATCATGGTACGCATGCATATTTTTGTTCGATTTTAATTGATCGGTAAAAATTGTTCAACTAAAATCGACTCGTGAGAACGCCGCTTTAGTCTATAATTTTGACTTAAATCATGATGATCTGCAACACTCTTTAAGTGGGCGGTGGGCGGTGTTTCAAACTCCTGGAACCGGATTCTGAAAAACGCTAAGCGCTCCACGCTCAGTTAAGTCATTTGAAAACGGTTATAGTCTAAATCAGGAAAGAAGACGATTGCATAATCATATTATTTTGTAGTAAAGACAATCGATTTACCATTTCAAATGTTGAGCACAAACTAATGTCATATAATTTAAAAATTTATAACTGAAACACGGTAATAACTTCAGATCAAAAATTTCTTATCCCACATTATATGTTTTATGTCTTTAATAACAAAAATAGGAACTATTCAATTTTAGTACAAGATTGTAAGTTCTAATGAGTCATTTCTTCTAAGTATCTACATTCAAAAACAGCATTTCAGGCTTCAAAAATTTGCCATCCTAATGAACCAAACCAAACCAAACGAATGAACTTTAAATATCTAACTTTAAAGAAGTGCATCTCATTCACACTTAACATGTATGGTTTACTCACCGTTTCTCAGTATAAAACCTACACTTTTCAATTATATTAATGTGTCTTTCGGTACAATATCGGGCAAAATACCGTTTCCCATAAGTTAAATCAAATGATTGAGATCATAGTACGATTAAAATATCATATATTCTCAGCAAGTTTAAGTTCTGTCGAGTAATTTATGAGATAGTAATTTGTATACAAAAAATATTTTAAATAAGATTAGCGCTCAAAAAATTCAATTGGATGTATATCATTACCTTAGAGGTCTTTGGAGAAGCAACTCTTTACTGTCTCGCATAGTAATTTACACTCAACTAACTAACTTTAATACTAATTTCATATACTGCTAACTCTTGATTATAGTAATACATGGTGTTACAATTTTAGACGAGATGTAGTTACGGCGCGCGATAGGATGTCGGTTTGCCCTTTCCCACTTTAGAAACTAATTTCCCTCTCGTACGGGGCCAATTACAGAGCGCTTTTCGCTTTGATCGAATTAAACTTCAAGTCTCGGGCTTGAAAGCTTTCCTACTCTTTGAATTAATACTGAAAAGAGTGAAAAAGTTTCTATCTTGTTCACGTTCCGTTAATTTAGTTTTGTCTTATTTTCGATGACATTTTTTAGGTTTCCTATTAACTTTCAGGATTCCGTTTAACCATTACCAATAATGTAATATGGATTCATTCGTTTTCGAAACATTTCTTTTGAATATCTGTTAAATTGATTCAACTCATGTTAATTTCATTTGACTCGATGCTAAAAATGCTTAGATATACTAGTGATTCTGTGATTATACATATACATATACGAGTGATTCTCATTCCGTTTATTTTATAATTGTTACCGATTGCGTTTTTAAGGTGACGTTCAGTTAGATAAAGATAAACTTTTCATACTAGTTAGTTGCAAATAATCCATCAAAGAAGTTGCAAATAATCCATCTAAATACAATCCAAACATATCTTTACTAGAGCTTTAATAATATATATTTTGGAGTATTTTAAACACAAACTAATGCCATCTAATTTGAAAATTTATAACTGAAACACGTCATAACTTCAGATCAAAAATTTCTTATCCCACATTATATGTTTTATATTTATGTTTGGAGAATAAGCAACTCTTTACTGTCACAGTAATTTGCACTCTCTAACTAACTAATTTTAATACTGTTTTCATATACTGTTAACTCTTGATTATACTAATACATGGTGTTATAATTTTAGACGAAATGTAGTTACGGCGTGCGATATAGGATGCGCTTTGCCCTTTCCCACTTTAGAAACTAATTTTCCTCCCGTATAGGGTCAATTACGAGCGCTTTTCGCACTTATCGAATTATTCTTCCAGTCTCGGGCTTGAAAGCTTTCTTACTCTTTGAATTAATACTGAAAAGAGTGAAAAAGTTGCCGTCTTGTGCACGTTCCGTTAATTTCACTCTGTCTTATTTTCGATGATATTTTTTAGGTTTCCATTTAACACTACTTTCAGGATTCCGTTTAACCATTACCAATAATCTAATAGGGATTCATTCGTTTTCTAAAGACTTGTCTATTAAATTGAATCAACTCATGTTAATTTCCTTTGATTCGATGCTAAAAGTGCTTACGAGTGATTCTGTGATTATATATCCGAATGATTCTCAATCCGTTTATTTTGTAGTTGTTATCGATGACATTTTTAAGGTGACGTTCGGTTGGATAAAGATTCAATTTTCATACTTGTTAGTTGCAAATTATCCATCAAAGAAACATCTAAATACAATCCAAACATACCTTTAATACAGCTTTAATAATATTTTGAGGTATTTTAAAAACAAACTAATGCCACCTAAGTTAAGCATTTATAACTGAAACACGTCATAACTTCAGATCAAAAATTTCTTTTCCAAGATTATATGTTTTATATTTATGGTTGGAGAAGCAACTATTTACTGTCTCACATAGTAATTTACACTCTCTAACCAACTAATTTTAATACTGTTTTCATATACTGCTAACTCATGATTATAGTAATACGTGGTGTTACAATTTTAAACTAGATGTACAATTAGTTAAGGCGCGCGATAGGTTGTCGCTTCGCCCTTTCCCACTTTAGGAACTAATTTTCCTGCAGTATAGGGCCAATTACGGAGCGCTTTTCGCTCTGATCGAATTAAACTTCCAGGGTCTGTCTTGAAAGCTTTTCTACTCTTTGAACTAATACTGAAAAGAGTGAAAAAGTTTCCATCTTGTTCACGTTCGTTAATTTAGTTTTGTCTTATTTTCGATGACATTTTTTAGGTTTCCCATTAACTTTCAGGATTCCGTTTCACCATTACCAATAATGTAATATGGATTCATTCGTTTTCTAAACATTTCTTTTGAATGTCTGTTAAATTCATTCAACTCATGTTAATTTCATTTGATTCGATGCTAACGAGTGCTAACGAGTGATTCTGTGATATATC